ATTTTATATTAATTAATAAATAAGATATAATAAATTTATTGAAAGTTATAAATATAATCAATTCATCAATAAAACATAATGAATATGTATACAGAAATTATACTTATTTAATATTTTACATTGTTCTCCCGAAAATATTAATATTTTTAATATTTTTTTTAAAATCTAGAAACAATAAAAATAAATATTTTATAACACTATCACAATAACTAATAACAAAAAAATTTTAAACTTTTAAACAGAAAGAACACAAATGAATATTTTAAAAAATAAAATATAAATGTCCTCGGTTGTCATTTTATATATAAACAATTAATTTCAAACAAGTGTATTACTAAACATCTTAATACAAACAGCTAATTGAATCAGCTAGTCACACCATTAACTAGTCAAACCAACCAGTTAATTGAATTAACAAACAACTAACCGCTAATTGAATTAGCTAATAGTTAATTATGAAACACACCCTAACACAAAACAAAGTATATTCACATTTGGATATATTCTATCTATACAACATAGGGATAAACTATGTCAAACGGATAGATACTTACTCGGTTAATGGATTATCTCGGTACTTTTGGAGTGTTTTGGAATGTTCCGAGAGGTTCCGGGACACAAGGAAGTAGGGAGGGCGCATTTCGGCACATCGCAGGGCGCTCCTCGGCAAGTCGCAATGCGCTCCTCGGCATTCTTTGGCCAAAGTTTTGGTCCGGGATACAATGAGGTAGGAGGCAAAGTGATTTTCTAATGATAATAGGTACTACGAGTAATTACTAAAGCATTATTTATAGCATTATTCATGTTGGATTTAAAAGAAAAAAAAAAAAAAAAAAAAAAAAAAAAAAAAAAAGAAGACGATCAACCAAAACACAATTCGTTTGTAGGATTTTGTCAAAATCTTACTATTTATCCAAAATTTTCTTCCCAAAAATATCAAATAAAACACCTATTTTTTATTTTTTATATTATACTAAAAATCAATTTTATATTCAAAACATCACATCAACACCTATTTATATCACATCAACAACTGTTCAAATTCAAAATTTTTACTATTCAAATCCCAACTTAAAATCCAAACTCCCCAAACAAACACACCCTCTCAAGTTTTTAGATATTTCTTCCTTGTACTTGAATTTTTACTTTCTTCAGCTTGTTGCTTAATTTTGCTTAATTAGACTTCGAGTTTCAGTCCATTGGTATGATTTTTCTTCAGTGGATTTTCATTTCATTCTTTTCTTTTTTTTTTTTTCTTTTTTTTAAAAATTTGAGTCTATTATTATGATTTTCCTTCGGTGGATTTTTATTTCATTTTTTTTTTTTATCCAATCGATTAAATATAAAATATTCTATCATAAGGGCCTAAGGGCTTTTTGAAATACCTTAGTGAATTCATTCACCACTTTTCAACTTATTTTTTCAAGTAGTCTAAAAAATTGAATATCGGAAATTTCAACAAGCATAATTTTAAGAATCAATTTGGATTTATTTCAAAACTAAACCTAAGTAAAAAATAAAATACAAAATAACTTTTTAGAAGAAAAAGAATATTTGAATGTAATAAAATTTAAAATTGCTTTTAAACTACCAAGACTATTGAAAAAATATATATTATTAATATAAATATGTAAATGTATTTTTGTACTATTTTTTTATAAATTATAATATTTTAGAATTATTAATATTAAATTAAATTTTTCTATCTTAATTCTATTTTTAAATATAATATCTAAATTAAAATAAAAATAAAATCTATTTTCACATGAATTATACTCTATAATTTATTTAAAACTTCATAAATTATACTAGTATTTTAAAATTTTAAATTATGTAGCATAACTAAAACTTTATACTATTTTTTATTTTAGTTTAATTATAATACACAAATTAATAATTTTAAATTATATTATTTTCCTTATTTATTTACTTATTATTATTAAATAATAATAATATTAATTTTTAAAATATTTTTTGCCTTGTTCAAGAGCTATCCAAAAGTACTTTTAAACTAAAGAAGAAAAGGTAAATATCAAATGGGTTTAATATCATCATTATTATCAATTTGGTCTCATTAAAAAAAATTTATTAGTTTTGGTCTCAAGCAAATGAAAATTTATGAATTTTAGCACGGTCATGTGTTCAAGTCAACACGGCCATATTGGATGACTCAGAAGCGTGACAGACAGCCAATACGGCCATGTTGGGCGTGCCCCAAACAGCCAACACGGCTACATTGGATGGCGTTGGGCGCGCCCCAGACAGCCAACACGGTCGTGTTGATTACCCTGCGCTGAACATTGCTATTTTCAAGTCCCTGACGGTCATGTTCTGAACACGGTTGTGTTTTTATCTGTATTGATGTCTGTATTCTGAACACAGTCATATTATAGGTCATGTTCACGACCATATTTTTAAAATAGTGATATTATAGGTTATATTTATTATTATTTTCACTTTTTATTAAAAATTATTTGATATATATTTATAATTCAACAAAAATATTTTTTGCAATTATTTCATTATATAAAAAATAATCAATTTTTAATATTTTAAAACATAATTGTAAAAAATTATAAAAATAATAATATATTAATATATATTTTTAGTAATCATAATTATATATTTTTCAAAATTTATAGTATTTTACTATAAATTTGAATTAATTATTTATATTTTATATATTTAAAATTATAAATTAAATTTGTTCTAAATTTTTTACTATATATATATAATTATGATTAATAAAAATATATCTAAATATATTATTGTTTTTATTATTTTTTATAATTATTTCATAACATAAAAATAAATCATTTTTAATATTTTAAATAATAATTGCAAAAATATGTTTGTTGAATTAAAAATATATGTCAAATAATTTTAACAAAGAAGTGAAAATAAATAAATATGACCTACAATATGATTATATTGAAAATATAATTGTGAGCATGACCTAAAACATGACTGTGTTGAAAATATGATCGTGAACATAGTCTAGAATAGAAAAATAATAATATATTAATATATATTTTTAGTAATCACAATTATATATATTTTTCAAAATTTATATACTATAAATTTTGAATTAATTATTTTATATTTTATATATCTAAAATTATAAATTAAATTTATTTTAAATTTTTTTTACTATATATATAATTATGATTAATAAAAATATATCTAAATATATTATTATTTTTATAATTTTTTTATAATTATTTCATAACATAAAAATAATTAATTTTTAATATTTTAAATAATAATTGCAAAAATATGTTTGTTGAATTAAAAATATATATCAAATAATTTTAACAAAGAAGTGAAAATGAATAAATATGACCTACAATATGATTATATTGAAAATATGGTCGTGAACATGACCTAAAACATGGCTGTGTTGAGAACATGATCGTGAACATGGCATAGAATATGGTTGTATTGAGAATAGAACATGACTAAGTTCAGAATACGGACATCAATACGGGCAAGAACACAGCGTATTCAGAACATGAATGTAAAAAGGGGCATGAACACGGTCATATTCAGTGCAGAGTAATCAACACAGTCGTGTTGGGCCGTGCTCAACACGGCCGTGTTGACTGTTTGGAGCTCTCAGTCACTTTTCTAAGTCATCCAACATGACCAGTCGATAATCAACCATTATGAAACTAAAATTGATAAATTTTCACTTGAGTGAGACCAAAATTAATAACTATAATATTAAATGATACCAAAAATAATTTTTGCTCTAAATTTTTCCTATTTTATCTTCAGTTCTTGTACGGAATAATTTTATAAATTATATATAGAAAAGTAGAAGAAAAGAATTGTGTAAATGAAGAAAATATTTGAGACAAATAAAATAATATAGAAATAATAAGTTTCATTTAAATATTTTACTCAATATGTGCTTTTCTTTCAGAAAAATATATATATTTTCAAAGAAATAATATATTATACCTATTTATTATTTCTATATTATCTATATAATATCTTTTATCTTTCCCATAAAAAAATACATTTTTAAATCATTTCACAAAACACTATTTTTTTATTCAATATTTATTATTTTTAAAACAGTCGGCATCTTTATTTAATTTGACTTTCTTTATTATATATGCAACATTAACTATTGGTTTTTAGCATAGAGTTTTAAAATCTTTTTTTTTAAGAAAATTTAAAATAGTAAAAAATTAACATTTGATATGTTGTTTTATATAAATATATCTATTTTAATTCAATTCATAGTATACATTTATTTTTTGTAATAAAATTTTAAAAATAATAATATTTTATTGGTTAGTAAAAAATTATATTGATATCTTACCCTTGTAAATACAAAAAAATTATTTTTGTAAAAATAAAAATATTTGGATATTTATATATGGATACTTTTATATAATAGAAAATAAATATTTTGAATATGAAAGACAAAAACACTAAAACAGATATAATGAGTTTGGATGAACTGAGTATTTAATATTAGAAAAATATATATTATTGTAACTGAATATTATCAAAAATTTCAAAACTAGCTATGTAATCGGAGTTGAGATTGTTTATTCTTACAAAGCTGTTATATCAAAACTATTATTCGATGATTAGAGTTGTTAAATGAAGCAAGTCGTTCGTGAATTTCACTTAGTTCGGCTTGATTCGATTTTGTTAAAGTCCGAACTCAAACGTAAACAAACCAGAGTTAAATAACATAAATATCCTCGTTTTGTTAACCAACGAACTTAAACCTTGTTTGTAAACATTGCGAACGCTCGTGAAATTATATATATTATGAAATTATTAATAAATAAATAAAATATGAATTAAAAAAATAAAATAAAATATTATCTATATTCAAACAAGCTAGAACAAGCCCAAACGAGCTTAATTAAATCGAACACAAATACGAGTTCGAACAATAAAAAAATTTAGCAAACCGAGCTTGAATGTTTAACGAACGAATATAAACTTAGTTCATAGACGTTAACAAACAAATACAATTACTTAAAATTTTATTTGATTCGACTAGGTAACAAGTGTATCAATAATACACACCCATTGGAGCGTATTGTACTAAGAAACCGAACGTTAGAAGGAAGGTGGTAACCGGGGCCAATATTTGGCCAAAAATACATGTAGTAGTTGCTACTTAATTATTCCCCTCTCTCTCTCTCTCTCTTCTTTTCTGTAGTGTGGTAGCAGCAGACAAAGCCTTTCCTTTTCCATCTACAGACAGCAACCACTTGATTGATTTTTAATAATCTCTTGTTATATATATAAGTTATAACTAACATTCATTATTAAATATAAATAAATAAAGAAACCAAAACAACCTGGTTCCAAACTCATCCTCACCTCTGCCTGCCTTACCAAATTATTCGATTATTAGCATGCAATGCAAACTCACATTTTGCTTTCCTTGACTTGAATGACTGTATCCACTACCACTGCCTGTCTGCATATCACCCACCCACCCACCCACCATTTCTGTACCTCCATTCAAATTCAGGCTGCTTCCAAAAACGCTATATATATATAAGGTAACCATATTGGATTCATTTCCCATCCATCCCTCATCATTACAAATATTTTCTATATTTTCATCCATCCATTCGATGATGGCTTTTCCTAAAGTTGTTATTGCCCCCATCTTTATTCTTCTAGTGATCCTACATCATCAAGTCCATGCTGTCCAAATCAAACAAGAGGTAATAATAATAATTCATCACACCTCAACTCTAATTCATTATGCTTTAAAACACTAATGATTACAATATCTACATTTCAGGCTAGCAATGTTGTCTCAGAGAGTTCATACAGTCCTGAACCAGGTAAACATAAAAAAACAGGCACAGAAATAATCTACTTGTTACCAGGTAGTGCTTATGTTGTTTGCTCGCTTCACAATTGTACATGTGTTTCCAACAAACAGATTGTGGAAGAGCTTGTGCAGCACGGTGTAGGCTATCTAGCAGGCCAAGGCTGTGCAAGAGGGCGTGCGGGACTTGCTGTATGAGATGCAAGTGTGTGCCTCCGGGCACCTATGGCAACTTAGACCTCTGCCCTTGCTATGCTAACATGACTACCCGTAACAACAAGCGCAAATGCCCATAATTACACAACCCTAATCAACTCCCAACTACTGAAACCTATATGTCTCCTTATTGCATCATATTCTTTTCTCATCTTTCGTATTCTCTCTTGTATTATTGTTGTTTCCCTATTTATTTTCGCAGAGTGGAGTTTATAATGTTAAAACTGTGATCAAGGAAAGTAATAGATGACTGTATTTTTCTCTTCTGCTAACCTAGTCCTGTTCTGGTAAGGGTAAGCACATCATGTTACAATCCAAAATTAACAAAAACTTTGGTCTATTGTGATTACAAGTCCTAATCCTGAAGGGATAGCAACCTAAATGTACTTGTCAGAAGGAGAATGTGATCTACTTGAGAACTCAATAAAAGTTAGGTCGAAAATTGCATAGTCTCAAACAGTATCAACTCTTAGACTAGATCGAATCAGAAGAAGAAACCTTAACAGGCAGTAGGTTGACAAAGTGAATTTTAATGTAAGAATCTTAAAATGTAATACCAGGTCAAATGACATGCATTGATCCCTAACCGCATTCAGCTTTTGACTTTAGATGGCCAAAATATACAAATACTAGAAATACCATTAAGAACAAGAAATGTACAGCCAAGGTTAAGGTTGTACATGATGTGGAAAATCCATTGCAATCAAAATATCAAGATAATGCATTATCTGTAGCACTTGAAGAGTAGCAGAACATAATCAGGGGGAAAAAGTTATTTGTTTTAAGCAGATATATAAAGGAGGCTTACAGATCTGCACAGCACTTTCCGCTTATGAAATCTACAACTTGTGTAGTTGTTTGATCAAGGGCAGAAGTGACTGAAGCCAAATTTTGGAGAAACTCTTCAGCTGTTGGCTTTTCACCATCAATAAGATCTGTCACGGCTTTCAACAATATAGCAGGCACTTTGAAGAGATCTGCCACATAAGCAACAGCAGCTCCCTAACCACACAACAATCACAAACCACCGAGAGATCAAAACAAAATAGAATATGGTGTTTCTTGAGACCAACTAACGCATTTTTAAGTGAAGGCTACCTCCATGTCCTTCACAGTTGCATTATTAGCAAGAATTGAGGCTTCATCTTCTGGAGTCATATCCAAGGAATCCCCAGTAGACAGTTTGCAAACCTACATAATCCTCGTCGTGTTCCTCCTTTCATTAGTATGTAAGATACAAATATGGGCTGAGCTGCATCTACACTAAATTCAAATACACCCCAAAAAATGCAATATTCTACATGTGACCAAACTATAGAGAATAAGGAAAATCTTTGGCATATCAATTAAGTCCGTGACAAAATGCTTTAGTAAGTCTGATCATCTATGAGAATGTAAGTTATGTAACACAATCTATATACTGCAATTTGCAAATACCAATCAGGAAAACATGTAAGCAATTCAAAACCAATAAAGAAGGCTCGCTATCATTTCTAAAAGATTGGAGTAGTAACCTTCAAACTCAGCTCCTTCGCAAGATTTGGAGTGGAGTACATTTCCCGTGCTCCAACACCATAAAGGTCAAAGACCTGTATGCATCCAACAATGCTATTATTATCAAATGAATAAGGCAGCTTTACAAGCAATGAAGATTGTCAAGAAGCAATATCATTCAAAATGAAATAGAGATCCCAATGGGATTGCATCCCTAAATCAGGACTCTGGGAGGAAATGCAACACTGTGAGACGGATATTTTGTGGAAGCAATCTGCATTTGCTGAATAGTTGAAAATTTGCTGATGAAGTGTGAGGCATTGAGAAATATAAGAGGCAGAAATGAGAGCAGAAAAGTACTTACAGGAATAGGAATTCTTCTGTCATGGAAAGCAACATCAGAAACGAGAAATACATCACCAATCGATGCACCTTTTGCCTGGTACAATCATGGTCATGATGCCAATACAGAATATTAAAAAGGATAAATGCAAAGAGACAATACAATCATGGAAGCGATTGTCATGCCTTGAATCCTCCAGCAGTTCCTGCATTAATGATAAGGTCTGGGCGCAATGCTTGTATAGAAGCATAAGTCAGGAGAGCTGCAGAAACTGTGCCTACGCAATCAACCCCTGATGATGATATCACACACCAACTCAGTAGTTGCATACTAAAACACTTGAATCTGGATATGAGATCAGGAACATGCAATGCTTCATCCATAAAAATCATTTACTTAGAACTGCCACATTCATTATATAATACTTCGTCTCCTTTTTTAACTTCAAATGCAATTGATCTCCATTCATTGCAAAATCGGACAGCTTTTGACCATAACCTAGTCAAATCACTACATCAAAGGGCAATTGCACGACCAAAAAAATGAAAAAAAATTTATATGTATTTCTGGAAGTTTTTAAATGTAATTTCTGGATAAGTAATTAAAAGAGATAGATACTAAAAGAAAGAGCAGTGCTACTACAAAACACAACCATAAGAATACGCTGAGTGGTTGTATGCCATTGTTATTAAATATGTCCTCTAAACAAGAGCTGTGGATTTAAAAGTACAAACCCAAAGTTTTGTCTTTTCCAGGACAAACAATGTCGATGTTCAAATCGTTGTATTTCCCAGAGTATCTCACCCATGAAACTCCCTCTGGAAACCTGTAAAGTTCAGGTTGAAACTTTGTATAAGCATGTGAAATGTGAGGCGATATTGTATTATAAAGATTAAACTGAGTTTATGTGAGCAATATAAAACCAAACTCCGCAGCCCTTTTCATCTTGATTATATAAACTACATCAATGATAATTGAAGCAAATACTAATAAAGTAGCTACTTAGAACATATCTCAAATATGCGACTCCATAAAATTCAATAAAAACAGCTGAAAATTCATGTCCAGCAATAGCTTCCAAGCTAGTAAGAATAACAAGCAAGCTATCATGCTTCCTACTCCTGTATATACATCAAATAATCCAACAAGCCAGAAATTCGCAAAAACAAAATTAAAATTGACAGAAGCATACACAGAATCAGGCTGCTCGGTTAGCTGAAACTTTTCCACCAGAGGAGACGCCTCAGTTTGCATTGCTTTTCAGAACCACAAAAACACACTCCGAAATCAGCAATCATTCATCATCATCATCATCATCATATATTTATAAAGCAGATTAAGATATAACAAAAAAGTACCGATTACGAAGAGAATATTGGAGATAGGGCGCTTGGCTGCCGACCCATCTCTGACTTCCGACACCGCCTTGTCGTCGTGTGAAGGCGCCATCGATCGATCGGTCTCTCAGCCTTTGTTCTCGCACCTCAGTCCAGTCGTATTGCGATCGTAGTAGAAATCCTTTTTCGCTTCTCCAGTCAAATATTGAAAAACGCAACCAGCCCCCTCCTCCTCCTGTTACCGGTAGAACAAGAACAAAACACCAAAACCGGTGCAGTTGTGCGTATTTGTACAGTCCTCTATATACTAGCGACTTTAGGCCTAACTGCACGTTACTGCACACTTAATGGATGTACACTCATAGACCAATCATCCATCGCCACATTTAACTCTGACCAATCAACGGTCCCCGTTACATACCCACTCACCCAAAATCGAGCCGTTTTATTAATGATATTGTATTTAAAATAATAAAAATGTTTAAAAATATAAATAAATTATAATATTATTTTATCATATTTTATCTGATCTCATTATTTATTTAAAAATAAATATTAATATATTTTTCATATTCTAAATATATACTTTTTTTAGTCAATTTTTATTGACCTAAGATACGATTTTTAGATAATTATTTTTTTTTTATGAATTGATAAATTTATATGATAACGTAGAAATCAAAAATGGTAAATGAATGAGAGTAAATAAAATAAAATTTGTATTTAAAAAGTGAAATAGGATAATAATTATTGGACATCCCAAATAAAAAAATACGAAATTAGTTTGCCCATATATATCTTTTTTTTTGTGTGTTTGAATTTTAGTATATTACTCTCATTACTTAGATACGGGAATTTAGGTAAAGTATAATTAGTAAGTAATTAAAAAATGTATTAGTCAAAATAATTATAGATTAAGATTAAAATAACTAAATAGTTTAATTAAGATTAAAAAAATTTAAACTTTAAATTTTAAAATATGATTAGTGTATAATTAATTTTTCAAAAAAGAAAATAAAAAATTATATGAGACGGACGAAAATAAAAAATAGAAACAAATTATGTGGGACGAAGAAAATAATATTTTATAGGTATAATATAATAAATATATGTATAATTTTGTTCATATATATATATATATCTATTTTTTAATGGTATTATTTGTAATATTGAGTAAAGTATATAAATATTTTTTATTAAAATAAAAAGAAAAAGTTTTACAAAAAAGAGAAACACATATATTTAAATTGGAATGGCAAAATGGTTACATGTTAGAGATAAGAGTATATGATTAAAAAATTAAAAATATATTTAAATATTTTTTAAAATTATATTTCAATAAAATATACATGTTTTATCATAGTCAAAGGACTCTTTTGTTTAGGATACGATATTTTTAGACAATGTAGATTAGTAAATTATTAATAATAAGTTATGATATTATTTTATTATTTTTTATATGAGTAGTATTATAGGTACTTTATACTTCACCTCCCTTAACAATCTATCTATTTTTCTATTTTAGTCATTCACATAACAAAATATTCATTTTTTTTAGTAATTATATTATCTACCTAACATTACAAATAACATTCAAATTTAAAATATATTACAAAAATTACATTACCTTTATATCATACAATACTAACAGGGTTAATTTAGTCTTTTTACCTTTATTTCTATTTTATTCTAATATTTCTAAAACTTCGTACAAAAAGCAAATGGATATATAGATATGAGAAAAAGGCGTATGTTTTTACCATTATATCTCAATAAAATATATGCCATATGAATATCATTTTGTAGTACATAATAAAATTTATGTAATGCAAATCAATAAAATATATATATATATATATTTATAATTAACTTAAAACTAATTTTATAGAAAATGAAAAATTTTGAATATAGATAAAATATTTATTCATTGAAGAGTGGGATAGAAATAAAGGAGTTTTAAGCGGATTCTACGTATAATATATTAGAAATTTAATTACTTAATTTAAATTTGTTAAGTATATATTATATATTTACCAAAATAGAAATGTGTTATATTTTATGCACGGACAAAAAAAATAATAAAATGGGGTCATGTGTGATGAAATTGACGGAGTATATAATAGAGATATTATTTTATAAATAATAAAAAATTATATAACACAAATAAATAAAAAAAATATATTTATTTATTTCGACTAATATAATCTAATCAAAAAAAAAAAAAAAAGAAGTTTTTAATATAAATAAAAATATTTATTTATTGAAAAGAAACAAAAATAAATAAGTTTTGATTGTGTGCTATATGTAAAATATTGGAAATTTAATTAAATTAATTATATTTGTTAAATATATTTTAAAATGTATAAATTTACTAAAAATAAAAATATATCTACGGTTATAAAACATTTTCAAATAAAAATTATGTTCAATTATTATGAAATTGATGAAGTATTTACACACAGATAATTCAAAATAAACGCAATAAAATAAGAAACAAATACCAACACATGGAGGTAGTATCTGTTTTAAGATTGATCTTGGCCATAAATGAATTAGCCTTTAGCAAATATTCACTGTGTCCCACAATATTTTTATTAATATATTTTTTAATTATTTATTAATTATATATTTTTTTAAATTATTGTTTCTATGGTAACATATACATTTTTACTAGGACGGATGACAGAGTATTAAATAAATGATCATTTTAAAACAAAAGAAAATATATGCATGATAGGTTAACCATATATTGGATGTGTTCATTTTATGTTCCTTAGGTGAATGTATTTTTTTATATTAGATATAAAATAGTCTTAATAATATAAAAAAATAATATTTTTTCTGTTTTAATTGAATTTATATATTTATTTTTTTAGCAGATTGAAAAAAATAATAATATTTTATTAATTAGTAAAAGTGTGTAAGATAATTTGATATTATTAAATACAAAAAAGTGAATCTTTTTATAAAAGTTTGAAGTATTTTGATATTTGTTATAATTATTTTTATTATAATAGAAAATACACTATTCGTCCCAAAACAATAGAGGCATTTGGGATGGACATAAGAATTAATAAATAATAGTATTATATTGACAGTGGATGTAAAAGTGTTTTTAAAAGATCAAAATGCACATAGACGATGGATAGTTTAATAGTATTATACATTTATGTAATTATTGGGAAAAAGTATGGATAGTTTTGTAAAAAGATGGGGATGTAGTTATAAATAATGAAAATGAGACTATTGTTTTCAAACAAATGAAAATAAAAAATGAGACTAATTATTTTGGGACGGTGGGAGTATATATTTTTTAGTATGACCGATAAAAATGGTAAAATTGATACAGTCGATTGAGACGAAAAAGTATTTTTTTATTACATTATTAATTTTTGTAAGTGATATATATTATATGTAGGGTGTATGTATATATTATATTTTTTTATAATATTTATCAAAAATGGTTTAAAAAATACAAAATTGAGTGAACACACAAATTATTTTGATAAAAATAAAAATAAATTTTCTTTTGTGTGTGCTTTGGTTTGTGTTTAGTGTTAATTGTGGAAATATTTTTGGAAACTGTAATTTTATTTGGTCGCAGTGATCATTGTTTTCTTTAACGGGGTTTGGTATTGAGAATGAAATTGTAGACAAATGAGAGTAAATAATGGAATTGAAAAGAAATAGAATTGAGTAGAGAATGAGAATTAATTCTCTTTGTTTTAGAATTCAGTTAGAGAAATATAAAAAAAATGCGGATATATGAATGATCAAACAAGAAAAAATGATTAACTGGATAAAAAGAAAGTTTTAACTAATGGGAATTCATGAAAAATATTTTTTGTCATTTTTAAAAAATATATATAAATTATATACGATGTTTTTTAAGATTATATTTTAGTATAATTTCTTAAAAGATCGTAAAAATTAAATACTTTAAAAATAAATTAAATTTGTTTTTTGTAAAATTGAAATAATATAATTTAAAAAAATTATAAAAAATAAATAATATAAAACATTTTAAAAATTAAACAAAAAAAAAACATATACTACAACATCATTTCTCTCAATTTCTCTGGGAGAGAAATAGAAATAATTTATTTCTCAAATTTCATTTCTCTTACTCAAACAAACAAGAGAAATGATACTATTTCTATTTTTCTGGCCTCATTTCTCTGTATCAAACACGCCATAAATGTTTTTTTGAGAATGAAATAAAATTTATTTTTATTGAAAAATATAAGTAAAATAGTTATGATATAAAAATAAAAGAATAGACTTTGATTTTTGAAACTTTTAAAATAATACAAAATTATATAAATAAATTCATGTGATATGAATAAGTATTTGGTGTTATGTTTAATATAAAAAAATTTAAATTTTTATGTAATATTCAAATAAAAAATATATACTCCAATTGTTAAATACAAATTAGAACATATTTAAATCGAAATTAAAGATAGACCCAAAAAATTTATAAATCTAACTTAAGTCGATAACAAACATCATGATTTCATATTATAATAAATTTAAGTTAATTACATATAGGGCTTAGGTCCTTCAAAAAGCCCAACCAAATATGGTGACACAACTAAGAAACAAGGAATTGAACTCAAATCAAACGGCTTACAATTCTCACTCACCACAAACCCAAAATATTCATCGATGTGACAAAAAAAAATATGCGAACAAACTATTTGCAACAAGATCTTACCGCCGACAAACTTACATTACTTCGAAAAGAGCTCATCGGGACAAACTTAGTATCAGGTGAAGGAGGCACGCCGGAAAAATTCAAAAGAATTAACCGAACTTACGGGTAAGGAATCAAGTGAAGAGAATCCTGATATAGAAGAACCCTTACTGCTATGTTAATAAAGGTATCTTATTCAACCCACAACACACATATATATAAATTAATAGCCCAAATTAACCCTAATTTCAATGGCCAGACATAATAATGTCTTGGTTATATAGGTTGTGGATTGAATTACACGGGTTTCATTCCGGATTTCCGGGTATGAGTATTAAAAAATCCAACACATTTTTCATTAGTCTTGATAGATCGAAAGCGCATGTATTTTATGTTTATATCATATACGATATTTGATTGATTATGATTGGATTCTACCTAATTTCTATGTGTATTGTTTATTTCCAACATGCAAGAGAGAAAAAATAAATTTGGTGAATTTGGAGAAAAATAAAGAAAAAAAAAATCAGCATTAAGACAATCAAGTTAGTCATGACCATGACTAACAATACCCTTCTGACAT